AGAAGAGAAGGCTGAGAGGGGATCTTATAAATGCTTATAAATATCTTAAGGGTGGATGTCAGGAGGACGGGGCCACACTCTTTTCAGTGGTGCCCAGCGACAGGACAAGGGGCAATGGGCACAAACTGAGGCATAGGAAGTTCCGTCTGAACATGAGGAAGAACTTCTTCACTCTGAGGGTGATGGAGCACTGGAACAGGCTGCCCAGGGAGGTTGTGGAGTCTCCTTCTCTGGAGATATTCAAGACCCACCTGGACGAGTTCCTGTGCAGCCTGCTGTAGGTGACCGGGGTTGGACCAGATGACCCACAGAGGTCCCTTCCAACTCCGAACATTCTGTGATTCTGTGATTCTGTTTCCTTCAGCATCTTACTAAAGCAGCTTTTTTTTTTTTTTTTCTCAGACTAAAGCGCTGCTCTTGTAGATGAAACTTCTTCTGCCTAAATATGGTGGAAATGAATGTGTACACTTCTCATTGATACTTGGATATTATCCTTTAATGTGTGTCAGACTGGTTGTGTGAACAATAAGATGAAGATAAAACATTAATCTCTATGTACAAAAGGATATCTATGATTGACTTGTTATTGTGTATTGCTTTATACACACACACAGAAAGAGAAATACATATCTGTTTCTGTCTATTGACAGACAGATGTACTCAGTGTATTCAAGGGTATCTGGGGGTGTGTGTGATGCTTATACGGGTAACAACAGCAAAGACATATTTAAACATTACCCTGAGATTTAGGGATTGATTTTTTTTTTTTCAGAGATGGCCTCAGATGTTGTACCCATTTTCTTTAAATCTAAAAGCCTTTGTGCACACAAAATATAGCAGAGGCTCTTTATAACTTTTAAATCTCACACCTGAAAATGAACATCTTATGCCTCCAAGGGCTGCAAAGCGTGGTTGCTCTTTACATACATCCGTGAAGGCGAAAGGTCAGAGTATTAGAGCTTTTTGAAAGCCATACTTCTAACAGCAAGCAAAGCTGTGGATTCCCTGCGTATTTTAAAAACAAACACACTCAAAACTAATCCAAACAACTTTACACAGGCAGATAACACCCCCTGTATACCACAGTGTCGTTGTTTCATAACACTGCTTATGCATGCATATTTAATTCCACACTGTTGTATCTTTGCTCATTTATAAAACATCAGTTATTTTAAGAAGGGCTTTACAAATGCATATGGCATTTAGTATATCCTGGCCTACGTATTTCCCTTTGTTTATTAAAGCACTACATGCATTTGTGTCAGTGGACACACCCAATTCCTTAATTTCAGAAAAAGCTGTTCTAAAAGATATGGCTAAGCATTTCTGACATTTCTTTCTTCTCTAAGCTGCTCTGCGAGGTATGTGACTTCTGGCTGGATCCATACCACCGATGCCAGGAGAGTCTTTTTGACACAAGAAACTGCTATGTTTGTATCAAAGTCTGTGTCACTGCTGGAAAACAGCCATATTGCAAAATAGCCTGACACAACCGAAAAAGCAACTTCTTTTGGAAAAAAAAAAAAAGACAGCTTTTTTTTCAGCTGTAGCCAGGACAGCATTAAAGCAATGTCTTCTTTATGTAGAGAGAAACGTTTTTCCTGTCATTTCAGAGCCTCTATTTGCCAGACAATACACACCAATTTCATTCACCACTACCTTCACCATCCCTCCCCGTGCTCCTTTTCTCTGTTAGAGCACGTCTCCCCACTACAGCTCCTCAGTCACTGATTTTTATATAACCTAATAGGCACGTTCACCCAGGTACTGCTTATGGTTTTGCTCTTGTAATAACCTGTTAGCATATGTTAATTGTTTCTGCCCTTTACATGATTTATAACAAAGTGTATGATCCTTGAACAACACAGTTTAACCTTTTAAATCTTGCAAAGGCTTGTGCCTTTAGCTCCAGAAACTTAAAAATTACTCCTCCTGGGGTGACTAATTTCACGCAGCCATTAAAAAGCCATCTTGCAGCCCAACAGAGGCCAAGCAATCCCCTGCTAGTTCCCCAGAGAACTCTGGAGAGCTGGAGTGCTGCGGTTGCCTGGGGTGGTAAGCCAGCATCCCACCAGTCCTCTCGCTGCCTTTGGTACCAGCAGTGCTGAAAAGCTAAAAATTGAACTGAATGAACCAAATTGCTCCTGCTCACCCCATGACACAGCAAACCGACGTTTTCGAGATGAGCATACACGAGAAAGGAACTGCACCCCCTTACATCACCATTTCACAGCCTGCCTTCTTGTTCAGCGCGGGGATTTCCTAACATCCAGCAGGAAGAAACTCCTTGACAGCATAAAGTGTCTCCTGAGGGTGACCACAGCTCTTCGAAAGGGCTGATGAACTCAAGGACTAGTAGAGGGCTGGGTGCCAGCATTAAGGGCGGTTGGACCGAAAAAAAATAGAAGTGGGTGTCCCAGCAGACCGGGAGGCCAGAGATGGCTGGTAAGCCATGCGATCCACGGAGGGCTGTGCTGATCACGCTTGTCAGATTTCTCCTGCTTGCAATTGCAAAGACACGCTCCTGACTCACTGGGCTGAAGCATACGTTTCAAAGAGGTTGAAATGATGTTTGGGTATCGCCCCGCTAAGCCGGCATTGCGTCCTGTGGCTCTCCTATGTCTTGGAGAGGGGCATCGCTTCTGGCGTCGCTGTGCAGGTCTCCCCACACCAAGGCTGGTGTGGTGGCAGGGCAATCGGAGGAGGTGGGCCCACCACGTCAGGCAGCCAGCCCAGGCTGATGCGGCAGCTTAGCACAGGGAGGTGCTTGGTCAGATGTCTAAGGAGAAAGGTCTGCAGCAGGGTCGGAAGGACCTCGGGTCAGTCTGGAGCGGACTGCTTTGTATTTAGAATTAAACTCTTTCTGAGTCCTGCCATACCCACATATCAGAGCCCGTCACCAAGCGACTCAAAGCTGGAAATACATGGAAAACCGTAGCAGCTTTGCGTAAGGTGATACAATAAGATCAATGGAGCAGTAGATAAGGAAGAAGACTAATTACCATAGCAGACCGATCTGAACCACCGTGTTAAACAACCCTGGGCCACACAGATTTGGTGTAACACTGTCAGGTGGAGAGGAACATGTCCAAAACAGGGCTCCTCAACCTGCAGCCCCGTGTTCAAATTCTAGGTGTGTGCATCCCTGTCAGGGCGACCGGGGCATGGCTATAACCCACAGACCCTATTTTGCACAGGACAGTCCCGAGCCTGCGGACAGGAGTCTCCTTCACCCCAGGGCTGTGGAGCCAGAGAAGCCTGGACTAGAAACATGCTCCCCAGCTCCATTCCTTCCCTTTCTCCCTCCTCCCGCACTCACCGTCTCCCGCTCTGCTCCTGCTGCAGGCACCCTGGGGCTCAGCAAGAGGGATGTGAAAAAAGGCTGTGTGCAGGAGCACTGCTACTCCTGCTGCTTTCCTCTGTCCTCTGCCAGAGCAACCCTGTCATGCCAGGTCTCCTCCTTGCGTGTTTCCGATGTGACCCTCCCCCAAAATCTCCCATGATCAGAGATTTGAGCATCACTACAGATAATCAACTACTCCGCAGGGCAGGGCAGGACAGAGGGGAAAATGCCTTTAAAGGCAGTGTTGGCATTACACAAAGCCTCCTTGCCCACGGGGTCTGGGGAGGCTCTGTCTGGATGGCTCTGGGAGGCTGGTCTGGCTGTGGAGGCAATGATTCCCTCCTTTACAGCCACTGGGAGAGCAGAAAACTGTAAACCTGGCCAGAGCCCTGCAAAAATATCTGCGATGTGGCAGCAGATGACAGCTAAAATCTGCTGCCACTCAGGGTGGCAGCAAGCTGCCTCTGGGGCCAGGAAGAAGCTTTTGTCACCCTACAAGACAAGTAGCCTTCTTGTCCTGAGGTCTTCTTTTGGCTTGGTGTTCCCCCACTCTGAAGCTCAGAAACTGACCCCAACCGGAGAAGAGCAACCACGGAGGGGACCTTTGCAACAGCACAAAGAAACCTTGCCATTTGCTTGGCCAGCATCTCCTCCTCACACTCTTAACATCAAACTCGTGATCAGATAGATTCAGGGCAGGGAAGAAGTTTCTCCCACATAGCAGAAGACCTAAAGACTTTTTTCCCCTTTCGTCTGTCCTCTGAAGCGAAGAGCAGAGGTCTCCTCCTAGAATCGCTTGAGCGTACTTCACCTAACTTGTTCACTGTTATTGCAAAGGCCTGAGACAGTGGTGCCACTTCCAGTCTTTTCTGTTCTCTGCCTGTAGCACACAATATATTAATCTCCAGGGGACTGATTGTTTTTAACTCTAACCCAATTATATAATACAGACAACAAGGTGAAATTTAGCAATCTGCAGCAGACACGATCTTAGAGTCTCTCCTGGCTTTAAACTCCGGGAAGCTGCAGGGTAGTTAATTTTTGTTTTTAAACAAGGAATGAGTAATGATAAAGATGGATAAACGAATAAGCAAAGCTCACAGGAGACAATAAATAAATGGTGTGTTGAGCATGCCAGGCAGTTACTAGCATTTCTGCCTCAATGCTATGGTGAAAAGGAAGGTCTAGAGGTGCGAGTCACTCGCCCCACGCAGGGCACTCCACTTAATATGTGCTCCTGGCTTTTGAATTGCCATACAGCAGCTCTAAATGGGGACACTTAGTGGCTTGATTTTTCTGTTTCACAATACTTGCTAATGCACTTTATTTTTTGAGTGTCACTTTGAACATCCTTTAAACAATGCCCTGAAACACAAAAATCGCAGGCAAAAATATCTTATTCTGTCTGCTGCTTCTTCCTTGCTGTCCTTCCGATAACCTTTTCAGCAAGGGAGAACCAGGGAGCGGCACCACTGAAGGCAGAGCCATCAGCTCACCCTCACCGGTGTTGTGATTGACACGACAGGGCTGCCTCGCGCTCTCTCACAGGTAAGGTCATTCCTCGTGAGTTAGTGTAACTTTATAAAAAATCGGGAGTCTTACCAGGCACTTTACAAGGATTTCCCTTTTTCTCCAAGTCTCTGTCTTCATTTCTGGATTCAGGAGAGTGAATAGTTTTGTCTTGCTTCTCCTTGTTCGCAGCAGTATTTGGAACGATCACATTTTGCAAGGCTGGCTTTTTAGGCAACGGAGGTTTGCTACTAAGCTGTTCGGAGGACTTTGCTTTGGGTTTGATCTTTTCATTTAAAGAATCACCAATATTTGTATCAGCTGTTTTTTTGATCTGTGCCTTATCACCTTTTAGAAAGGTAGTCAATCCCTCGTTTTCTAAATTAAACTCTGCACTGTATCTTTTAATTCCTTTTGATTCTGGTGACGAGTTGTCTCTATATTTCAAGGACAGTGAGGTGGATCTAAGTTTCACTTGAAAAGGACTTTTATCTTCACAGCTTGGCTGATTCTGAGATACCACCAAAGAATCGCTTGGCACCGGCACCGCATCGACAGACAGAGAAACGCAGCCAGACGAAACTTCTGTGAGTTGGACTGTGTTCTCAGAGTCGGACTCCGGCAGCAAAGCCTGCTTTTTGTTCCTACTTTTTTCCTCCTCCAGATCTGATCCCTTCTGCAAGTCTCCTTTCCACTTCTCTTTTCTTGAGAAGACCTTTGCTTTGGACAGGGAGAATGCGGTATTTAATGGGCTTTCCAACTCTGATCTTTCTGGGAAGTGTAGGCTTTTGGTCCTTGGTCTCTCCCGTGCAGAGGAGACCGAAAACTTTCTCAAGGCATTGAGTTCATTGACTGCTTTTCCAGCTTTCTTCCCCGAAAGTTCCTCCTTGTGGACCAGCGGCTGACTGCTCTCACCAGAAGCAGCTGCCTCTTGCACAGTCTTTGTCTTCTCTAGAGAGCAGGAAGCAGATGATCCCATCTGTGCTGAGGAAGCAGCATGTGAAACATGGAATGAGTTCAGAGGCTGGAAAGAACCTATGGAAAATTGCTTGCTGGACTCTGACAACAGAGCAACCTCTTTCTTTGCCTCTTTATTACAGGGCATTTCCACAGGTATCTGATCATCCTGCTGCACATTTTCTTCTGACCCTTCCAAGCAAACAATACTGTTCTTACTAATTGAAATCTCTTCTTCGGATGGTATTTTATTTACTGAAAACACAGTAGGAAGCTCCTTATTTTCTTGATTTAAAATATTGATTGCTCCATCACTCACATCCCCAGACAACAGAAACGGTGTCTCTGAGGAATCTTCTTGCTTTTGTACTTCTCTGTCTGGACTGGAATAGGACGAAGTTGCGGAGTCTTTGCCTTCTAACAGCAACGAGGACTCAGACTTCACACACATTGTTTCCACTGCTGGTTGGCAGCCCTCCGGTTTGTTATCTGGTAGCAGGGCTTCCTGTAGAACAGCAGGCTCAGAAGCAGGCTGAGTCATCGCTGGTCTCGAAGCAGGGGGAAGGTCCTCAGGCACTCTGGGCTTCAGCCAGGAAGCCACATCCTGCGCTGCAGCTGTGCCGCATGACAGTTTTTGATTGCTGGGTTTGAATACAGCATCTGGCAAGTCTGTCTGCATCTCCTTTTCATCATCCTCTTCTTCTTCTGGGGTACAGCTCAAATCAGTCAGAGATGCAGACTGGGTCCTCTGCAGGAAAGAAATTCAGAAAGCTCCGTCACCACGTACAGATTTACTTTTTTTCTTATTCAGCATTGCATTTACAACCAAGATCTTGGAGAGGAAGGCAATACTTGCCTCCAATGCTGAGCTCGCTCTTAACCTACACACTGGATGCTTTTTTTATCTAAGCAGATCCTGGAATAATGCACTTAACCAATATAAAAGCAATCAGTGACACTTCCTTCTGCACAGCTAGTGCTTTCATGCCTTTGTAGATGGGAAGTTCATCGAAACAATGGCTGTCGGACCGTCCTTGGCACTTCATTCCCCAGAGCATACTGGGTATGCTGTGTTGCTCTTGGGCAAAAAGCAGCACTTGAAAGAGAAAAATCTGTCTCTTTGTATTTCGCTACTGTGTACTAGCATTAAAAATAAAACAACCCATTCTCACACGACTCTGAAGAGGGAAGGGTACATAGAAGGAAGAGCAAAAACCTAACAAGTCCATCCGGTTATGACACTCTGTGCCAGCTGAGTATCTACCCCCATATGGCAGTCTTCTCTCTAATCCCACTGCCATACAGCATTGCAGCTTTGCCTCCTTTCTGTAAAAGTCTTATTTTTCTTTCGAGAGTTAGACTGTTCGATAAAAGTTTATAAATGCATACCTAGTTATCTGTGAGGTCTTGTGATTAAGCTTCAGGTAAGGACTGGCTAAATATACAGGATTATTTGAAAGCACATTATTAAGCTGCTGAATATGCCTTTTCATCTGGGGCCTGCAGTAGCTCACTGATTCACTGTAGTTTGTTGGGCAAATACGTATTTTGGATGTAGGCCCTAACTCTAAGAACACAAAACTTGCACTCTGAAGATACTTTTAGGGTTCTTCCAGCTTCTTGTTTTGCAAGCGCAATTGCAAAGACAGAGCTGCAGTGCCACTGCATTAACAACCCACATACACAGGAACATAAAAGCAGAAGACATCAGTTAGCTGGAAGCAAGGCGCACAGGCAGTCAGGCAAGAAAATAATAAAAATTGTATTATTGAAAGATGTCAGCACTCTCCATGGAAAACCAGGACGGCTCAGTCATCTGGCAGTTTATAGGCAGACTGGACAAAGCAATTGTATTTCGGCAACAATGTTACAATGGAAGAGAAGGTTTGATCAGTGAGTTATTGCTTTACATGCCTTCCTAAATAACTGGCATCATTTTGTTGCTCGCAGCGGTGCTCTACCGAGCGCAAAGATCACTCACAGATTTTGGAAAACACAGAATATCGGCTAAGTAATATTTAGAGACAGAGGGAATAATATTCATGGTGATAAGCAAGCCAATTTAATGGCTTTAATGTATTTAAAACATTGAAAGAAACCACAAACAATAAAGTGCAAATATTGTGAGCTGCAAAATTTAGTTCTAAAAAGAGAAGAGAAAGAAGAAAAATTAAGCTATGCCCTTCATAAGATATGACAAAGAATCAGATAAATGGTGTTTTAAAAGGACAGTTTAAAAAGTGGGGTTTTTTAACAGTATACACTTTTAAATAGTTTTTTTTTAATAGTATGTACCTTTTTTTCTGTGGAGACTTATTTTAAGTCTCTGTAGTGCACATGAATGGTTTACAAGTTTTGGGGCAGGGAGAGGGCTGAATTCAGAACAGTCCTGATGTACAGAATTTGGCTCCAATTAATAGGTCACAACTTATTCTTTCTGTACTTTTTGAAAATATAAGCCAAATTATATTCGGAAAGTTAAAACAGCTCCTCCATCAATACTCTCTTAAAGATTCAAGATTTTACAGGATCTTTCAGACTAAGAAAAGTACACAAGTTGATCATAACACTTTCAAAATAATTGTTTTAAGTAAGAAATGAAGCAGTCAGCCCCAACTTCTGCATCACGAAGAAGATACTGAATTGTACTGCACAGTAAATTTAAGAAGAAATTGTTACATAAACTGCTGCATCAAGAGTTAGCAAGTAATCTCGTAATATTTAATCTGTTCCTAGCGTCTACTGCAGATATGTACCCTCATCAAATAACAGCTATTAAAACCCAATTAAATATCCATGCTGCAATCCGACTTTTCTTATCACATCTGAGTTTGAAATACAAAGTCCAGTAAGAAGTTCCTGGTTTTGTGTCAAAGGTGACACTATTTTCACAAGTACCTGAGAAAATCTTCTAATTTTACTGGATCTGTGTTTGCGGGGTTTTATTAAAAGCTTGTGTTTAGCAGCAGAATTATCCAAGCAAGAGGAAAACTCAGGTGGAGTGTCAAAATCAGCTGCAGGCGAGATGGGACTGTCAGGTATCCAGGGAGCTCCCGTTTTAGCACTTCCATGCCTAGGGAACAGCTGACCGTCTGTAAAGCGAGATCTAGAAGAAGGACCCAATGTAACCTGAAAAAAAAAAATCCCTGAACAGAGAATCAAACAAGGAAACAAAGACATGAAAATAACAAATACGGGGCCATGTTTATTGGTGTTTAGAGGTTGCCTCTTTTTCTTTTTGACATCTCTTTAAAATACATTGCATTTCCTAATGTTGCGCATGGAGTACTGGTGTAAGCAATTCTGCATTTTTAGCTGCTTGAATATCATGTTATACTGTCCAGAGGGAAGGACCAAGTCACATTTATCTAGAAGATCTAAAGCACATGACTACATGGCCAGCGTGTTTTAGAAGACAGACTTATGAAGAGTACTCAGTTACAGGACCTACAGGGCCAGTTCCCTTTCTGGGTCTCTCCTCCAGCATCTGTGTCTAGGTTCCTGCCCGCAGTTACACTGGGCTGGAGCGTCCCTAGCTTCCCATACGTCATCAGGTCCCTTCCAACTATACAACACCCTTCTAAAGTCAAAAGAATCAAACATCAGTGCCATTGACACTTAAGTCAGCTGGCATTTTCTCCTCATGTATTTATATCTGCAAAATAACTAGGAAGTTCACCTGAAATGTAAAATTTAATTTATAAACTATTCTAGGGAAGGAAATGATAGACAATTTCTAGTAGAGGCCAATAAATAACCCATCCAGAAATGACTCCTGAATGTCCCAGGGAGTGCAGTACTTTCACAAAGCTGGAATCGAGCTTGCCTGCACGCTTCACCAAAATCTACCCTAGTCCCAGGGCTGATGCACAAAGGAGACTGAAAAATTTATGAAAAATTACTCTATTAAGGGTTCTTCCTTTCTCTCAGACTCAGTTTTTGCAACTAGGCAAAAAATGGTATTTCCAAACTATCTGTCCTGGCATTAACATGACCTCTGACAACCCGTGACAGCACTCCCTTTGCAGGCTAGAAATTCCCGTTCGTTTCATTAGAGAAGCTCTCCTCCTTTGTCATGCTTTCTTCTGTGGGCTTTCGTCTTCTTTGTTCTTTTCTTCTTCTTTCTTTTTTCTTTGGAAGTGTTATTTTACTGAGGGGGTCGGGTGGGAGAAGGGGAGAGCAGGATAGTGTTCGTTTTGTTTAGGAAGGGAAAAAGCATCGGTGTTTTCAGCAAGTAGAATTCTGCATTGTGCGCTGCAGCCAAAAGATACTCTGTGGTGTAGCGAGGGCCTGCTACAGCTTCCTCAATGGCCTGGGGAAAACTCCCATTGATTTTAGCGGAGGCTGGATCCACAGCTTCCGATCACGCTTTCTATTTATGAAAAAAACAGTAGCTCAGCCATGCTGAATAATGGATGTCCTCATTAATTTTCACTCTACAATATCTGCAGTCTAGTACTCAAACATGACTAATGTACAACAAACAATACGTGGCTGCATTATACATTAGTACCTAACAGTGAATACATTGACATTTCAGCTCCACGATAAAGACACAGCACATGTTCTCTTTCAAGGCACATCATTATTTGCCTGCCTTTCTTCTGGCTTCTGCTTTTCCTCGAGAACGTCGCCTGTCTTCTTGTTGGCAGTGCTCAGTGTTGGCCATCGCGCTGGAAAATCAAGAATCTGGTTTGTTACTTAAATTTCAGCAGCCCGAGTGAATGCCAGCTCCGAGCCGGCTGTGGAAGTTGCATGTCCCATGAGGTCTGGCCCTGGTGCAGCCTGCTGGAGAAGGGGACAGCTAGCAGACCCTTTTCTCCAAATCTCATGTGCACATGGCTCAGTTGTCCTTCAGCTGGTCGTGCTGGTTGGCACTAGGTGGGGGGCCACGAGGGACCCCCATCCCCAAAGCCCGGATTGGACAGTTGCGATCCCCTTCTCCCTTCTTCGATCCAAGAAAGCTTCCAAGACACAGCAAGGTGTCACCGCTGCCCAAAACCTCAGGGTTGCGTTGTGCAAAACTCCTCAGCCCTGCGAGCTGGTCTCCTCCGACCTCTAGAAGCAGGGCTAATCTCTCTGGAACACCAGGCAGTGGACCCTGGGTTTGGGAGGAAAGCCTTCAGATGGGGCTGCTTCCTGGCTGCGCTCTGCAGCTGGCCTGGGATGAAGAGGGCTCTGAGCTAAATGATGGGGCATATGGAAAAAGCTGAGCAACCGTGTAGTCACCACCACGTCTCGGGAGTCAGCGAGTGAGTCAGAGCGTGATGTTAATGGAACAATAGGGAGACATAGATCCTCCTTTAGCAAACATGCATTTGGACTGGCCAAATCTACAGTGAGCCTACACCAGTTTTCAAGAAATACCTTCTTCACGTGTTCTGTTGTTTTTCTTTGAAAATACAAAAATGTCACTGCATACAAGCAATTTTTTGAACAGCTTCATGTGGAATCTAACAAGTGTGGCCAGAAATCTTTGCTGAGCCCTGCTGCAGCTGGCTTGGAAATGCACTTTGCATAATTACCAAGGAATAGTCAGCTCAGGACTAGCTTCTCTATTTCCTTGCTGCAATTCCCCTCCACCCCTCCTCCTATTTCTAGAAAACGCTCGTCCCTTTACCCCCTGTGTTGTTTCCACCGTGACTCCAGCTGCAGACAACTAAAAGGGACTCTTCAGAGCCTTTCAAAACCACCCTTTAATCAGCCAGCAGGGCTGGCTGCTGATTGAAGAAAGCCATCTATTTGCCTGTACTCAAGTCCTGAAAACATTGCTTCAGCAGAACTCACAGCTCGCGCTGCCTCACGTGGCCAGCACCCGACTGAGGGGTGAGCCTCAGACTCCGCTAAGCAGCAATGTCAGCCACTGTCATCAGGCAAACGCTTCCTCTATCAGTGTGAGGGAACCTTCTACTTCAAGCAAGGGTCTGGGCAGATTTCAGAGGGATCTAGATTTCATTCACGGCTCCTCAAGAAGCTTCCTCCCTTACCCTCTGCACGTAACCCAAGCACCCGTTACTGCAATTTCCCATCTTTAAAAAAAGGGACTCTGTTTCCATGTCTAAATCCGGTTGGTCGTGTTTGGATATTAAATCATGCTTGTAAAGTTTGCTGAAGGATATGAGCTATTCTAGAGGGCTTAATTATTATCAATGGGAGATTATTTGGCATCAGAATTATGTTGATAAATAATCATAACTTTTACGCCAGACGGACAGGCATTAAAAAAGCAGAGCAAACCGACAGGCATGCAATTACATACATACAAGGTTGGTTTTTGCAGCAGACAGGCAACAAAATAAAATTTATGTCTTGCATTTCATTAGAAAACCACTATGCATAATTGCTTGGCCCTTAATACATTTGGCAGAAGTTACCTGTTCTTCTTCTTCACTGCCTGTTCCAGCTAAACTCAAAGAGCTAAGGTGCTTGTGAGAATCAGAGAACTGTGGGATGGAATGAGGAAGAGGTTCAGTAAAAGATGACAAACGAGGTGGATACATTCGCAGAAACCATCTACACGAAGTGCACACAGATACCGACAATGTAAGTTGTTTTTCTCTATAGTCTTAAGGATTAGCAAGGACACTGCAAACATAAAGTGTAAGACATGCAGATAAAGAATGAAATAATGTGCAATAAAACTATCACTTAAAAAGAAAAAACAGTTTCAAATTCTGTTATGTTTCTATCTTCTGATGACAGCCTAGAAAAACATTAAAGAGAGATCTCTTATCAGCGCAATCAAGGGAGAATATACATTTTTCAGCCTATTTTTTATGTCTGGCCATTCTCTGTAGTCCCTAAAAAAACCCCAGCATCCCCATGCACGCACACAAACACATCCTGTCTTTCCTAGTTCTGCATTTTCTGGTGTGATATTTATATTTTGACAGGAACAGAGATTCTAAGTAGCTCTTTACACAAAGATAGATTTTCCCATTCTGAGTAAGGTATTTCAGGCGTAAAGTAGTGATACATATAGCAAACCAAATAACTTATTCTGCCTTCCACACACAGGTAAAACAGGTCATTAAACAGTGATTTTTCTCAACACCAGAACTACTCACTCTTGTTGCTGTGCCTGAATTTAGGTTTTCGTGTAGCAAAGACATTTCTGGAGGGCTCCTGGGTAATCCATCATCTTCAGAACTGGTCCCAGCATCCTCTGTTCGCTTTGCATGAAGTCTGAGTGGAGGCGGAGGTCCCAGTTTCATGGTAGGCTGGAGCTTCAGCTTCGGCGTGGCATAAAACACATTAGCATGTGATAGCGACGGAGGTTTCCCCAGTACACTTTTTAGCTCAGGTCAATGAGTTACCTTTATTTTAACTTCACAACTGAATGATCCAGAGCACAGGACATCTCACTTTAGATGTTCTGTTAGGGAGCCAAGAAAACTATCCATTTTTCAACTATCATTTAAATAGAACCAAGATACGATACTGATGTCTAATTAATAAATGTGAGATTTAATGTAAGATGCAGACAGGTATTAGTTACTAATCAAATGTTCAACCATAAATATTATCCAAAAAAATCAAGCTTGGAAAGACATTCCACCTCTTGTTTTTGAAAAAAAAAATATGTTGTGTAAATTACCTGTAAAGCTCTAATTCGATCAGAAACGTTTTCTTGAGAAAACACTCTTACTGGCCTTGCAGGCTCTTGCCCAGTCTCAGGGATGAAAATGCTGTCATGTGACAAAGCTCTGCTCCCCATAATGCCTTTATGTGTCCTAGAATAATATAACAAATGAGTGAAAACACACAGACTCTTTTGCCAGCCCTACTACACTTAACTTGGGTAGTCTGTTGAGGATGGATTGGGAGATGGGTGTGTGCAGCGTACGTCACACAGGAGATTCCAGACTTCTCCAGGAATACAGTACAGTCATTCAGGCTAATCTAGGTAACACCTTTAAAAATCAAACAAAAATTTGCAAATGCTGTTATCTGTCACATTAACAAACTGAACCAAGGTTAAAGACAGTTCAGCCCCAGCAACTGAGTTATATCTTATGGAAAAGCTACTGCCCCTTGGCTGGAGGCCACCAGCTGGGTGGCGTGACAGCGCCGCAGGCAAGCCCAGCTGCAAAACGAAGGGAGTTCACCTAAACGAGCCTGTACCTGAGATGGACTAACTTCTTACTAAAGTAAGAGCATGTGTTGCCAAAGACTGACCATTACCATAGGAAGAATAAGTATTTTTTACTATTTAAGTGTGGTACAGCATTTACTGTATCTCTGCCATGCAGGTCATTATGAAAAATATTCGAGGCAATATAGATCTCACTTAGAATCATTTGCATAAATTCTTATGAGATGCTTACGAGGTCCTGTACTCTACATCAAGATTTTCTATATCAAGGATTTTCCTTCACGAGCCTGGGGCACACAGTTCTTCACAGACACTCTTTGTGGGCTGGTGGGAGGAAGCGGGAGATGCTTTGTGGGTAGCTTTTCTCATATTCTGTTTCCTACTTTTGACACACGTGGTATGTAACTTTTTTTGCAAATGTTACATGTGGGGCATGAACACCTTGTTTCTTCACAGGAATGGTACGGGAGACCCACAGGCAGACAGCTAGCTGCTAGGAGGTCCCTTGTGCTCATTTCCCTCAGCTTACCTCAGCCTAACTGAGCAGGGACCAGAAATGCATGCACATGGCATTTCTTCTACGACTCCCTTCTTTTAAATTTTTTAAATAAGACAGCTATGAAATAGCAAACCAGAGTACAGAATACAGAGCGGTTTGGGTTCATGTATCTATCAAGTCAACTGAACAGACACTCTAGAAAGAAAAAGGAGGAGAACTGTGTATTTTTGGATCTTAGATACTGTCATAGGGACATTCAGGAACATAAACAAACATGGCAGAAAGTAACATTTTCCTTGTAACGGCCGCTATAAATATGTTTGATAAAGAAAAAGTTGATTTGTATT